TGAGTGAAGTAGGATTACTGTATTCCTTTTTTTACTTACATTTTATTGTATATATATAAGTACCTAGTTTCAAACGTTATATAGTGATAAACCATAAATATATAGTGAATTATTAAACAAGTGAAGCTGGTGAAAGTATTTCTCCTTTTCCTCCTATAGTATTAGTGTATTACTGCTTTAGGCTTTACCTTATCGTTGTTACAGTACATATCCATGTTACAGCGATTGTTAGTCGCACTCCGTTGGATATCCACCACCAAAATATTGTCTCAACGATCATCAATTTTTTTCTCATAAAAAAAATGTAAAATAAGAGTATAATATACGAAAATTATTTCTCTATATATAATATTATAATAGTTTATTGCACTATCAGTTTTACAGTTCAATTTATAAATAGACAAAACTATAAAAGCTTGAAATCTAAATCTAAATTCTTTGAACATTTTGTTGATATAAAAAAAAAATACTTCAACAAATTTCAAATATCTACTGTTATTCGTGTTTGAGTTTCACCAAAAAAACATAATCGATTTTGTTAAATCTTTAATTATTTTCCCCTCAATTATTTTTTAAAATACTAAGAATTTTTAATCTTAACCTCTTTAAAGTACCAACTAGATCCAATTTTCTATCAGAAACCACCCTCAAAGTATAAGATCAAAGCATTTTTTCCACTACATTTCCTATATATAGACACGAAAAATAAAAAACACACATCATTGTAAAATCAATACATTCATTGCTTTTTTCAGAATCTAAAAGTGTTTAAATATAGTATACGCTTAAATTTTTTTGTTAACATTTTTCAAAAAATATTAGATTACTCTCACTTTCAAATCGAATATTATATATTTTTTTCGATGCGTAATCTGCAAACCCATTATAAAATCCTAAAATGGATAAAAACCGTTTGGTCAAACTAATAAATCTCTAGAAGATTTTTCTTTTTTAGATAAGATAAAAAAAGTCTCACATATTATATACTATGCAACATACATGAAATAGGTATATTCGTATATTTATTATTTATATTAAATACAATTATATAAATTATAAACCGACAACGTGACTTCTTATAGACACTATTACATGTTGGTACATCAAGAATCATATTAAATTAAATATATTATATACATTTTTTAGTCCACGGAAACTTCCAATGACGATGAGAAAATGTACTTAGAAAATTGTTTTAATCGTTTCGGCAACCAACTTAATAGTGCGCGTATCATATCTTAAGATAATTAGCCACATATTAAAGATAAAAAGATTTTAAGTTAAAAAAAAAAAATATTGCCTTCAAAATAGTTTGATTTTAATAAAATGTTTTAGATTTATTACGACATTAGTACATTACGTTATAACATTATCATGATATTTAAAACAATATTATGATATTAATAAAATAACTATATTTGCATTTTAGAACAATGAGTTAGTCATTATGTTGTATCGAATAGTATTCTACTACCTACTTTGTAGGAGCAAAGGATATATGTATGTTTATTTATCAAACAATGTATTTTTTACTTTAATTCTACATTTATAATATTCATTTTGTGAACGTTTTTTTTTTAATGTGATAATAACTGCTCGATAATATAATAGTGAAATCAACTATCAACTTTGGAAGATACTCAAAATCGTTCTTCTTAGTTGTTCGTCTATAATATGCATAGTTAAAAACTACTGAAAACCATCGAAAAATGTTTAAAAAATATGAGTAAGCAAAGAGTTGGTCGTCGATAGTTATGTATCATCATTAATCTAAAATCTTAAGCAAACAATCAGAAAATGTCACAATATACTGTATTGAGGTGAGCAATTGTCCAATCACCCATTCTCTGTATTCAGCCCTAATTTTAATTATTTTATTTTCACTGATATTTTGAACGTTAACTGGCATAAATATTTTCAACTGTATATTTAGTACAGACTTGATGATGACGTCTTTAACCATCTAACCATTTATCATAATAACAAAAAAATCATTAATTAACATAACGATATTATAATCACTAGTTTCAACGGTTATACATTCATAATTTAATTTAAATTATATTATTGTAAAAAAAATATTTTAAAAACAGGGACCATTCCACCAGCCGTGCAACTTTTGAATTTTACCCTTGACAAATTACATTAATATATGCAGCCAGCAGTCCCATCGTTTTAAAATTTGTACTAAAATAAATAAAAAATTAAACTGTAGCAAACACGCTTTCCAATTACAGATCAATTAAAATTGTATTCGTTTGGGCAACAGGTCCTAAAATCATACAACAGCAGCCCGAATTATAATAAATGGATCAAACATTAACAAGCAGTAAAATATAAATACATTTACATTTACATACACGTTTTTTATAATACGTTTACTAAACTGGTATGGAGAGTCAAATAAAGTTTACATTATCCGCCCTTTCACCTCAACATAGTATACAACTATTCATCCCAGAGCAACACTAATATTTAGTCCATTGAATTTAAATAATATTAATTTTAATTTCGTAATTATAAAATCCAGTTTGTGATGCTGATTTGTTTTGTAGTTTAATACATCTGATAAATATTGGAGTTCGTTCGATGTGAATTGAAAAATATATCGATTCTGACCAAACACAGATAATTATTCAACAATCCTATTTTGTAATTATTTTTAATATATTATTAATTATCCTTGCGATTTTTTTAAATTAAACGTTAACATTTTTAAACGATAGTCTAAGCAAAGATAAGTGAAAAGTATTTTTGACCAATAAACATTTTTAACCAAATTCACAGGAATCACTTTCAAAGTCCTAAATATTTGGTGTTCATAATGCATCCACTTAATGAAGTAATCATTGAAACATTTTCTTTATCCCATAGTTCTCAAAATCGAGATGAATTCTAATTTTTAGTCAACTCGGACTCTAGCTTAGCTAAATTACTAAGAATAAGGGGCATTCAGCAAAATTTCAATGAAACACCACAGTTTTTTTTTAAATACATGTAATTTAGGTTTAATTTTTTGCGGAGTTAGAGCAGAAGTTTACCTGGTTAATATCTAAAATGTTAATATTTTTGTCTGCTGTTTTCACTTGAGTCAACAATTCATCAAAAAACCGAGAGAGCTAAATTTATTATCAAAATACAATTATGACTAAAACTTTTTGGTTTCCGTTAAACTCATTATCATTTTAGCGTTTATAGTTTCATACCATTGTTCGACTTAAATAATGCTACTGACAAGTTATCAAATACATTGCCAGACGAACTTCTGATGATGCTCGAATGGTTTAAAGAATATTATAAACTAATTTTAACCAAAAATTTACAATATACAATGTGTTCATGTTATGAATGGTAACGATAAAACTAAAAACCATGTAGATGCCAAGTATGGGTTTGTAATACTTATAAGTTTGTGGTTATGGTATTGATTGGGCTGTTTAATATTGCCACATCATCATAAATTTCCTAGATCTCAAAATTCATTGATGCTTCACCGATCTTATTTGAAATACAAAATCTTATAAAAAAAACAAAGTTTCCTTCCAAAATGTAATATTTATAATAAATCAACATATAGTTCATAAAAATATTCAGCTTCAGATTATGATATTAAAAATATACGTAGCCAATTCAAAATAAAATGTTGATATTACTGAGAAATGTAAGCGTAAAAAATAATAAAAGTTAAACCTAATGAATATTAAAACTGCATACAAGATGCCTTCGAATTCCAAAAAAAAAAAATATTGAAAAACAAATAATAATATTCTCCATCAAAAGAATCGCTTTTAAGTTATTTGTAGGAGATTACTCTTGGTGATTTTTATTTATTGCATTTTATCAGACCTACTCTCGGTTTTAAGGCGATGTCGTTTGTATCACCAGTCTGATAATCTAGAATACCAAAGACTAAACATACAACATTTTCTGTCGAGGCAGAGGTAAATAAAGGTTTAAATATAAGAGCGTACAGATCGTATGTGACGTGTGTAATCATAAATTTAGAATGTACAGAATTTTATGGCACTCTGTTTGGTATTCATAAGCGCACGACCTAATTTACACTAATTTCGTTATACGCGATCATAGCCGACTATGTGTGCGGTGTTTGTGTGTGTGTGTGTGTTGTGGATATAATAATATATAAATATAATATATAATAATGTAATGCGTTTTCGCTCGTTCCACGTGTATAACTGTGTAATGAATAAAAAATTAGCAAACAGCAGGGCCCGTTTGTCTGTTTTTAAAATTCACGAGATTGTTATAATATTTCAAAATCACAAATTTAAATTAATTTAACTGTTTAGTTCAAATTTTGTGTGTTTTTTTTCCGCGCATATTCAATATTCCGCGATGATTCAACACGCCGATTGTCAGCGGCGCGACTGCCATGGCGTTGGGCTGTCGAATCGGCTTTTAAAACGTCACTCTCTCGCACACCACCCACACTCATTCACCGCCGCGAGCGCACGTTCATGTCGAAATCAGAAATTCATGCAAAAAAAAAAAAATAATAATAATAATAAAAATAATGAGAAAGTAAAATAAAATAAAATAAAATCGGTGAACGGAACGCACAGAGATGGCGTGCTGGCGCGCGTTATTCCGATCACGTACTTGTTATCGTTGCGCATTTATATGTAGCTTTTCAAAGTTTTCCGGTCACCGAAAATCTCACGCGTCCTCGAACAAGGCGACTCTGCACGCGTGGCTTTTCTTGGCGTACGATTTATCCTCTGGATCTCTCTCGCTCTCTCTCTCTCACTCTCTACTACTCTCCCCCCTCCCCAATCCATGGTCCCATTTTCCCGAGCACAAGACTCTATCTCTACCCGTATCCCCAGCTCCGGTTTAATTTTCGGTACGACCAGTGGCGTATTTTCAAATTTTTCTGGGGGGGGTCCTCAGTTTTTACATAATTAATATAAAAAATGATATCTTATAATAGTTACGTCCTTATGAAGTTTTTGGAGGAAGTTGAATAAAATATATAATAGTATAGTCTTATGTAATATTATATATTTATATATTGTATTAAGCACTACATATGAAAAGTATTGTTATAAAATAAATTCCAGTCGTCTAGATTTTTTTGCCAACTCCTCTATCACTTCATCAACAGTGATTTCAAGATCCCTGTGAATATTTAACATAGCCAATCCGTTAAGTCTTTTCTAACAAAACAAAACAAAACAACCACAAATATTAGTTTTAAAATTAAAATGTCTTAATAATATTTTATTACCTCAGATATTGTATTTCGTAGATATGTTTTAATTCGTTTTAGTGATGAAAAAGTCCGTTCGTTTGAAGCCGTAGATATAGGAAGTGTAGACAAAATTTGAAATAACTTATTAACTCCTGGATATATGTCTGCATTACACAACTTCAGTGCATCAATTGAATTTTTTGGTTTTATTTCCAATTTTTTAAGTTTTCTTTGCCACAGTTGGAACTCTTCTATTATTGAATTATTACCATTTAAATCTTCTTCATAAAATACAGCTAATTTTTTGAATTCTTCTTTTGTAGAATTTTCGTCGAAAAGAGATTGAAAACTTGACAAAATATCAATATGATTAAGAAATCTAGATTTTAATTGACTTATAAAAGAGTCTAAGTATGGAATAAAAACCGATANATTGTGTACTTACTTAATATTGATCAAAATACAATAAACACTTGTTCACTGGTTCACACGTTACTCGTATAGTTGTTGAAGGCAAAATGAGACTAATAGAAAATGTGTAATATCTTATAAAAGCCACTAATTTATATTTTATTATACCTATCCATATATGGCTATTGGCTACACAAATATTGCTAATTGCTATACACACAAATCCATCCATAATCGTTTTTCTGTGTGATAAAGTTTATATTTCAAAGATACGGGTACTTGATACCTATTAATTTTATCGGTTTATCGCACTTCGTATAAGGTCGTTACATAGAAAAACTGTCGTCAGAATAACATTACTATAAATTTATAATACGTCTTATTACTTAAAACCATGCTATTATATTTTGTTCACGGGAAAAAACTATATCCGCGCGACCGAGCGTGCTTACATAAATCGGGTTCTGCAAATATGTAAGAATTTTAGTTTTTTTTTTTTTATGAGAGGTTCTGGGGGGGGGTCCAGTACCCCTGGACCCCCCCCGTAAATACGCCACTGGGTACGACAACTACAGAGCGTCTCTTCCACCGGTCTGGACCGGTTATTATTAATATTATATCGTATGTCTGCGCTGTTCGTAAAAATCTATGTATGCATCGGGGTGGTCGCAAACCGTTACCCCTCGTGTCGATGGGCGGTACGACGCCGACTTTCGTAATAATATTAAAACATCGCGTATATACACAGACAGGTATGGGTATAGGCACAATAACATGTAATAAGAGCCCTCGTTCTCCTCCTCCTCTTATATACAGGCGACTCGCATAAACAAATTATTATGATGCCAATCGGCAGCGGGGCGAGTTTAAGCCGCCGCAAAACGAGATAGCGGGTAAGTTATCACCTGTTATGTATGACACTAATCGGACATTATGTATAGTTAACGTTTTGAATTTCAATGCGTTGCACATATTGCGCACGTACATATATAGGTGGCGGAAACAAAACGGCGCCACGGGAAATTCTCATTGTTCCGCTTTCAACTCGCGCACCGCTCCGTATACCTGCACATCACCTATAATATCTGTACATATAGGACAGTTTAAATATATTATAATATATACACATTATACGCCTAGACCAATATATTGCGTATCGTACATCTGCATAATATATTATATTATACGGGTGCATGTGTATTACACGTTTATACGAATGTTATACCTATACTCCTGTGAAACACAATTATTTACCATCTACACGTCACATACTATGTATATATTTTATATATATATATATTATAATAATATGTACGCATATATATTATATATTACAGTGTGTTTGCGCAGGCGTGATGTATGTAGGTACATACCATCAAAATAATAATATAAACCATTATGTGGTTAATATTATATTTTTATTGTTATCATTTGGCGACCACTGATAAAATATGTGACCAGCTGACCCACAGCTATTTTCTTCGTTAGATTTAATTTTTTTTTCGTTAATACCTATTGTTATTTTAAAAAGATTGTATATATTGCATTATTATTTTATTCTCATATTATACCAAACCGTATTTAATTGAAGTTTGCATTCAATTCGGCCATAATACGTTTTTGTCTGTAACACAACAATGTATTGAAAACTATTTTATTATTGTTGATATTCTATTGTCAAGATAATATTGTATATGGACCAGATTGTAAGATTTAGTTCGTTACTGAAATATCTCCCAAAACAAAAATTTAATTACATTTCGAAAGAATAAAATCAGGGAAGTCGTCTTGCTGCACAGTATAGCCGTATATAATACATAAGTGGCGAGTGTATCTCCTCAATCATTAAGTCACTAATAGATTATAATTATTAAAATATTTTAAAAATTGAATTGTGTATAGTAATTTATAATATATTATTATGAATGAATAAAGAGATTCGAGTTCCTATGAATACGTAATATTAATTAAATTATGTAATATATATTGTCAAACATATAATATAAATATATTTATATTATGTTATTTAAAACTAAACTCGTGTATTTTTTTTAAGTATCAAATCTCATCACAGCTGAAACTAAAAAAAAAATTGTACGTTAAAATTGTTGATACTTTGCACACATCGTTGTGAAACTATTAATCAATGCATTCATCATCGACCAGCTCAAAGTCGAAAATTTATAATAAAAAAAACATGTAACATGGATCGTTTATAATTTTATGATGTAGTGATATTTATTAGACAATTTAAGATAAATAGCTTATCTTGCAAGTTGAGACTAAGAATGCATCTTTTGAAAAAGGTAAAATTTATTATTTGTGTGTAATAATATACATAAATATTCGATTTATGTACAATCGTGTATATCTATAAATCTGTGTAATTCACTACTCTGCTTAAATATAAAAAAATATGTAAAAAATAATAATAAAGTTTCGGTGTTGCCATTTTGGTGTAAACGTATCTTCGTGTTTTATTAAGTTTTTATAGAAATTTACCTTTGTTGTGTACCTCATTAGCAATGAATTGCCTCATTAATTTATTAAACCTTTATCTCTTTTATCTTAAGTTGTTATTATATTTTATTTTTTTTGCATTCCTAACGTAACATTGCTAATCTTAAGACACTAGAAAAAGTTTTTCGATTTATATTTAACTCTCTCAGTTTTAATAGTCGATTTAATTTTTTATTTTTAGTTGTATACGTTTAGTGTACGATACTTTAGACTCAAAATTGCTATCTCTAAATTAACATAATTTGTAGTCAAATATTTATTTAAATCTGTTTTTGTGAATATTGTACGAATGCTGTGTAGATGTGGGATTATTGAATTAAAATTTGCTGTTTAAACTCATCAATCAATTATGTTTTAATAATAATAATCCAACCAAAATATAATTTATGGTAAAATAATACATCGAACGTATGGACTTTGTTGTTTATATGTTCCTATTAAAATATTGGAAATAGTGGTAAAATATAATTCATCCTTGAAATATTTTTTTTTGAAAATAATTAAAAACAAACAGTTATTTTTTACATTATAGACGCTAAAAACACTATCGATCAACAATTTAAGCCATCAATTATGTTTCGAGTATCAAGTATTATGTGTAACTTCCATGATGGATGGGGGGAGGGGAGATAACGTTATTATAACGTATGTGTATATATGTACGTTTATTTAATAGGATTTATAACTGTCACGATGAACAAACTATTCCACATACAGCGCATACCTAATGCATTTGAAAAGTGACATTACTATACATTATTATTAATATTCCTCACGCTCGGTTTTTGGCGTTCGGGAGTTAGTTTGTATTATTATATATCCTTCAAAAACATTAAAACGTGAAAAGGATCCAAACAATACGTTAGCGTGTACACGCTTGTCAAACGTTAAAAGGTCCATTTCTGTTCATGTTAAGGGCGTTTCTGCCTTCACTGACATTGTTTACTATAATGCATAATTGATTTATAGACTGGAGACTAGGTAAAATCGTATGGCCAACGTTTAATTACAGCACAAAAAGCGTTTACAAGTCGTTAGCGCCACGCTTGCGGTTCGATAGAAAATACGCGATGCAGGATTCATTGACATACGCAATTTTATTTTTCGGTGTAAAATACTATAATTTGCACAACATCATTTAATGGAATATAATACATATAAAGTATAATGAACAGAAAAAGAACAAAACGTATAACGTCCAGATTTTATCCAAGGCCTCTGTCGGTTACAAACGGAACGAATGGACATTTTTGTGTGGAATCAAAAATAAATGTCAATATATCGTAGACCGACGGTAAAAAAATACTTCACCCATTATAAGATATGTGTAGACCGCAGAGCCATGCCAAACGGGCGGCAATTGGGGCAATTTCCTTAGACTGGCAAATGTTTAAATTTGCATGTGTATAGGGGTTCCAATGAAAGTTTTTACGGGTACTGTGTTTAGATCACTGAATACAGTTTGACGTTAGTGATATACTGAAAAAAAAATTGCAGGATATCCGACTTATGGACTATAATTTTACCCTTGTCGTGTTCATCGGCTTAATTTATTCGTCCATTGCAACTCTTCAATATCTGAATATACCTACAATAATAAATCATCGCACGGAGAAAACAAATTTGCTCATGAGTGCGGACACTAGACACTGGGATTGTACAATTTCTGGTGAATCGTTTCCTACTAATACGACGAATAGCTGTAGGCTGTAAAAAACGATTTGGGAAAACAAATTTAAAAAGAAACAATTATTTCGAGTAGAGATGCACGGCCGCATTATACGCAATAAACACTACTTTAGTTGTATCGTGGCAACGAGAATTGTTTTCGCATTCGAATCTGAGAGAGTTCAAAGTATATACACGACGCGCAGTTTGCGTTTGTAATTAAAAAACTTTAGGCCCGAGGTCGTTCTTTCCACGCCAGCTCGATCCGACACCGTTTTGCGACCCTCTACGCTACGGCCCTTCGGCCCCAAACTTTTTGAGAGAGCCCTGAAATATCATAATATTATATGTACATATTACGTGTGTCTCCAAAAATAGGGTACGGCTTAATTACTTAATATGTTACTCAGTACCCTATATATATTTTTGAATTTCTGTTTGGGGGACATAGACAGAACTGTTGTATCATAAATTCCTGTAACTTTTTTTAACTTCTGTGCAACAGCTTAACTTTTCCTGTGTACCCTATTTTCGAGGATACGCTGTATATATAATATATACATGTACATACAGTTGATGTTTGCTCTCAAAACACGAACACTATTCGCCATATGGTCTGCAGTCGGTCACACGATAAATTATAATATTACGCTATATATGACTATTTCGTATATTATGGGCGTAGCGCGAGGTCGTGTCGGAACATAAAACATTGATATTATAAATTCATATAATATTTACCGAAACGTATACACCGCGGCTGCGTGGTGCGATGCACAGACCCAGCAGAGAGTAGCGAATTTAAAATCATGTTTCACTCGTGTCGAGCGGGACAAGGCGGCGCCGGAATTCTTGGCAATATAACCGAAATGACGTACTATATGTTATTATATTATTGTCCACGATGTATACGAACAATTTTATAGCAGACTTCTTTGGAGTTTCTGGGTGTGACAAACAGCCTCGTAAACCTCACAAATATCGACGTGGATACAAAAATAACGTGTTATACGAATAATTATAAAAATCAACTAAATCGCAAAT